ATTGAACTTTCTTGATCTTCCTGATTTTTCTGAATTCATGAAGGGAATTCGAGCAATCTGCTATCCCTTCTTTCCTCTAGCTCCTTCAGAAACCGTCTGCGTATGATGAATAAATTTCATTCAAATTCTTCATTTATTATTAGTTAATCAATTTTTAACGACAATATCATATCAAATTCACCCTGGAAGTGCTTGGTTTCTGGTCATTGCTGACGGCATGGAGGCATTATTCATAAAGTGATTCGTTGGATTTTGGGAAGTTGGTTTTGAATGGAAAATGTGAATTCGGATAGTGTCGTTGCTCAAGATGCAGTTAGGAAGTACTGGAAAGTGAGTTTTGATAAAAACTTTTCTATCTTACCGAAACTTGAAATTCTCATAAGCTTTGTTCTGAAGGTTGGAGTCGCCATCCAAACGAAGAGACATCCAACGAACGGATAAATGCTCATTATCACGAAAGATATTTGAGAGTAAACTGAAAGTTTTGAGAAGTGTCAATGTCATTCAGGTATCATCATTATTAACTTACTCGGTGAACCTAAATTTAATGATGCACATAGAATGATACAAGAAGAGGGAAGTGCAATACCAATGACGTTACTAGCTATCTTGAAAATTCAGAAGTGAGAAAGTTTTTACAATCTCATACCAAGCCGAGAATCGCAAAAGTGAGGTGTCGTTGAATTTTGCTTGCTTTTGGAGATTTAGAAGCTGCTTTCTGCTTCCTTAAGCTCTGAATTAGTTCTATTCCGCAAATTCCCGCAATGCCACAAAACACAGAAGCGATGAACAGTATGTCACAATAGAGAAGATAAACTATTTTGTGTTCGCCAATGAGAATGAAAAACGCATGCTGTGTGTACATTTCCGGCGATATCTTATTATCTTTCATCTGAACAAGCTACTGATGTGACAGAATCAGAGTGTTCTAACTTTTAAACACTCCCTCAGACCTTCTTCTCCTCCGTTTGTGATTTGTGCCACTATATAGAGAAATAAGAGAAGTTGAATTAACAAGTGGAGCATATGGCTGTATAAAATTTTTTTTTTAGTTTCCTCTTGCAACTTGATCGATACAGCGAAGACTCTTATTATTGAGATCAGAGCAACAAACCATCCTGCTACTGTTAGATATTTCAAAAACGGAAGAAGAAGAGTCTAAATTACCGACCAACAAGAGGATTTGAATGAAAGCTTGTTTCAATGTACTCATAATTCCAAAACGAGAGAACAATCCATTGGTATATCCAGCGACACACGGAAATTCGAATGTTGGAACTACCCCTAATGTCATGCACAGTTGGCATATTCCCACTCTGTAACGTAGAGTTCATTTGAACATAAGTTAGTATGAAAACTCACGATAGTTCATACCCATGTATGGCAAAGAGAGATAAGTAGTTGAGTTTTGATAAACCGAAGATAATCAGATAGAGTGATGCTATTAGAACGAAAAAACCAAATGTAGACAAGATGTTCATAATAGTTACATAATGATCCATCACTCTCAGTCTACCCTTGTGAGTTCTGTTAGTTTAAAAAGCTCGAAAATAAAAGAGATCAATAGTATCACAGGGGTGTCACAAACGAATTCATGCATATAAATAATTACCCGGCAAACATTGTATGCGTTGAAGAGTAAAACCTCCAATCTATTCTGATATCATACTAACAAGAACTTGTAAATAGCAGTACCCCTTCAAGGCCCATTCGTTCATGTCTAAGTTACATGTTTGGCGCTGTTGTCGCACTGGACACCGCTTACTTGAGCTGTGAAATGACAATGAAATCTATCACTTTCGTTTTCCAATTTCAAATGGCCATGGTAGTGCACGCATGTTTCATTCCTATTTCAATTTTCTTGTTGAGCGGCTGTTCACACGTTTCATTTTCACGTTAAAAATAAACAGCCGAGCGGTCGTGTCTTTTTGGCGTGAAAATGAAAGAGCAAGTACGAGCTCATTCCACTCATTTCTGGTCTTTTGAACTTCTTTCTATCTTTCTTATTAAATTTTTAAGGAGTTTCACGAATTTATAATTCAGATAACTCGCTCCACTGCTAATCTCTGCTCATATTGGAATCCTCATTAGGCATCGTTCTAATCCTTATAGTTAACTGTTTTCTCCTCTTTGTTGTAGATGTTGTAGTTCGATTTATGGATTAGATGACTTCCTATGTTCGAGAAGAGTCCATAACCTCTAGTTATCGACTGATTTTCTAAATCGGATGAGTATTGATTGCCGTAAACCATTTTCATTTTGCTTTTCTGTTTTCTTT